CCATTTTCGAGCCTCGCCAAGCTCGCTTGTCCCTGCATTCCATTTTGAGCATATTGCTGCCACATGAGCTGTTCCTGTGTAAGCATCTGCTGCTTTTTCTCAATGTCAGCCATTTGTACATAAGATGGTGGAGGAATTGAAGCAGAAGCAGCAAAAGGATCCCCTCCAATAGTCTGCACCGTGCCATCAGGAGCAGGCAAAGCCAAAACAGGCTTACTACTTTTGCCAGGCAAGGCCACGCTGCTAGCACTCCCTCCGCTCGCTTGAGCAGTAACATGCTGCTTCACTGCTCCTTGGTCATACATCCCATTTAAGATTAATGGATCAAGGCCTCCAGCCAAATTGGCTTTCTGATTCGAGAGATGGCTAGCAGTTTCCACAAGAGCGAGCTCCCAATCTGCTTTCCCTTGCTCAGCCGCTGGTGTTTGCCATGCCGAGGTCACTTGGGTTTCTCCTCCACCATTCGAAGCGGGGAATGCTTCCCATGAGCCATTGGTAGCCGATGTTGCTCCTCCTGCTGAGAAAAGAGCCAGTGCCAATCTGTTCTCTTGGTCCACTGCTGAAACACCATCATCTCTGAGATTCACCAATTCACCCTCGTGTTGCTTTGGCTGCTCCTTTTTCGGTTCTACCTTCTCTTCAACGGGCTTCTCCTCATAATTTGGTGCTGGCAGAGCTTTGATATTGCTTGTGTCCTCTACAGGTTCTTCATCTGGAACAGCTGGCTCTGGGGGCGGTGCCTCCAGCTGTCTTGGTGCATCAGCTGGCCTTCTTGATTTATCCCTCATGAACTCCTCCAATGTTTCCAGTAGCTTGTCAGTTATTCGTTGCACCTCCGGGAACTCAGATGATCGAGCCACACCGATTTCCTTGCACCAGCTGTAGAAGGCTGCAAGCTCGTCGATTTGCTTCGCAGCAATGCTATAGGCATCAAAAGACTTGACACACTCTGGATACTCCATGTCAAAGAAGCGGTCAAGAATCACCGCCAATATCTCACACAAGTCGGAATAGAGCTGGAAGCTCTCCCTGACAACAGGGTAGAGAGCAACAAGGATCATTCTGCTGTTCTTTGCTAACCCCGTTGGCCGAATAGCAAGGAAACGATCAAGAAGCTGCTGCAATTGATGCATCTTGCCCAACACCCTCTCGGTATTCATATCCCTCAATGGAGTTATTGGCTTCTTCTCCTCAGCCACTTGGCTGGGACTCTTGTACCTATCATCATATCGATAATCACCATAGCCACCCGCCGAAGATCTGCTATAACTACCGCTACCAGAAGGATCAGGCTCGCTGAAATCAGAATAATGTGGAGATCTGCGGTTTTCGCCCCTACCATTTCTATCAGCACTGCCACCGCCTCCTTGATTCTTCTCGTAGATAATGAGTTCAAGCTTCTGATCCAAATAAAGGGCATAGGTACGCACAAATGCAGAATGGTCCCAAGAACTCGAGTGAGCCTCATCACGGAAATCCGACATATTGAGAAGCCGTGTACCCCTTCGTGTAGCATACAATATCTCGTGTTGGAATGATGGATCCCCATCAGATAAGAGACGGTGGATGAGCATGAGGGATTTCAATGCAACAATCCAGTCTCGAGTCTTGCTTAGCCTTTTTGATACTGCAGCAATGCAGGCACTGACATATCCCCGAGAATAGGAGGTCAAGTTGAGGATCTCCCGAAAGTACTTCTCATCGGCAGGGATATCGTCGTGGCTTGGCTTGTGGCCTTAACAATGGCCACATCGAGTTCAGGGGCAATGTTGCTGGAGACCTTGGCTAGGCCAATGCTGGTTTGATCCTTGACTGCTCCTAGGGCTTTTCTAAATGGCGCCATTTCACAACAATCTCAGGCCCGAATTCCAGAAATCTCTATCGAGTACGCGATCAACAGACCTAACATAGTTTAGGCAATACTGTGTTATTAAGTAAGAATGCAGCTACAATCCAATGCAATGACAATGAAAAGAGAACTTTTTTCATACTAAATAAGGTTGTACAAACTTGATGAGAAGGATCACAGTCATTTAATTTGAACAAGTACACGACCAAAAGAAACAACAATTCTTTATACCAAATTTGATGGATCCGTACATGAATTCTATTCTTTATTATGTTTAGGCTATCTCATTTAAGTTGATCATTATCATATTTCTTAATTGTTTCTAACCAAGTTCTCTTAGGCCTATCTCTAGCTATGATCCTCTTCGAATTATAAACTGTAGTCTCATCACATCTCACAATTGGTGCATTTTGAACATATGAAGGGTATAAATTTAAGAAAATGCCTTTGAACCTTAGGGTGATTTGCACAAAACGACCATGAATTTCAAAAATTAAAAAGAAAAAAAAAAGAAACATACATTTTAGCGAGTTTTACCAAAACCCCTCGACTTTCGAAAAGTTACACCTATCAAAATACATTTTCAAAAAGCAAACTTTACCAGAAAAACCGCCACAAACAAAACCCTCTTCACAATTTTTCTCAGCTTTCCGTCTATTCTTTCTCCCTGGACAAACCCCACAAGCCCTAGTATAGAATCTGCGCCAAATTTCAGCTGAAACTTTTCGGAAGTTCATGGGAGTTTTGTAAAATCCCCCAAAGTTTACCCGGGTTTTCTCTAATTTCTAAAGCTCCTCGTCGTTTTTCCATATGACCCCAAAGTTCAGGGGGGTCTTCTGATATTTTTCTTACCGGATCACCATCGTATCAATTACACAGACAAAACACTAAAAACTTGATAAACGAAAGAAAAGATCTAATCTTTTAGGGTCCAATCGATCAATACAAACAGCGTATTAACGCAGATCCATCACATTGCAACCAATCACAGTCGATTGCCTGCTTCAAAATTCCCTACTATTCATTAGATCTACAAGCGCCAGAGGAACTGGATCCGGCAGAGAAAATTACCCAAAAAAAAACACTGAAAATCTGCGGGAAAAAACAGCGAAGGGATGAGATCTGTGAGCTGACCTGAGTAGGATTTAGCGGGCTCCGATCGCTCCGCCTCAGGACTCGATGGAGAGAGGAGGAGGGGGGATCTTCGCCGATTTCAAAGACGACAGCTTTTTAATGTCCACTGGCTTTCTGAATCCGTCAATTCGGGGTCGGTGAGGGCCTTGGGCTTTTTAATGCTGGGTAGTAGCAAAGCCCATCTCCTAGTTGGTGAAGGTTTCCTTCACGAGTCCTACTTGACTGTAGAAATATTCTAGGCTAAATTTTCAGAAAACCTCCCTTAACTTTTGATGGTTTAGTTTAAAATATCATAATACCCCCCTTAGACTTTAATAGTTTCTCACAAAACCCTCTAACGGTGTTCGGTGCAATTTTTACATTGATGGTTAAAGCTACGCGTGGGGGAGTTTTTTGCTAATGAAAATGTCGTTTCACGCTTTTAGGGTGGCTTATTGAAAAACGTAGAAGGGGGTTCTGATATTTTAAAAGTTATTAGGGTTTACATGATGATCGTCCAAAGTTAAGGGGTTTTCTTCTAAAATTTAGTAAATATTGGGCTGAATTTAGTATTTTATTTTATTTTAGGATTTTGTTTTCCATCTATGCCTTTCACATTATATATAGTTATTTTAAAATTTATACTCTATAAATAATTGTGTTAGCAATTCTCACTCCAATTTGGACTCCTACCCGCAAATCTAACAGGAACCAAATATTCATGGGAATGCTTATTTTTGTTAGGATGTTATTTGATGTCTTTTTAATTGACCTATCAAATCGGATTAAATTGATAATTCTGTTCCGAAAATATTTATTGATTTTTATTATTTATTATCTTCTTGATATTTTAGTAAAGCTTCCAAAATTTCCCAGAAAATTTCCGATTTTTCGGGGATTTCATTTCCCGCGAGATTGACTCAGGGCCTGTTTGTTTGCCAAAAAAAATTGAAAATCAAAGAAATGGAAAACTATTAAATCAAAGAATTGTTTTGGGAGTGTTTGGTTTGCTAAAAAAAGAAGAAAATCAAAGAAATAAAGATGAGTTGTCACCTTATTATAGGATGATGTGAGTGATTTTTTAAGAAACATTGTTTTGATGTTGTTTGGTTGGCCAAAAAAATAATGAAATAAATTATAAGAAACCTATTTCTTGTAATAGGTTGTTTTCTTTTGCTTGGTTATTTCTTAAAAATAAGAAAATATATGAGATGAGATGAGTTGTCATTATATTATTGGATGATGTGACCCACACTTAAGGAAATTGTTTTCCTAGCTTTTTGGGAGGAAAACAAAGAAATGAAATGTTAATGAGATGAGATGAGTTGTCACAATCTTATTGGATGATGTGAGTAATTTTTAAATATGAGATGAGATGAGTTGAGTGATGTTGTGGATGAAAATAATATTTTATTAGATGTGGTGGATGTGATGGATGAAAATAATATTTTATTAGATGTGATGGATGAGTTGTTGGATAAAAATAATATTTTATTAGATGTTGTGTGTGAGTTTTAGGGATGGAAATGTGTGAAATTGTACTTTTTTAGTTTTCTTGGTTTGCATTTCTATTTTTTGGTTTTTTAGGAAATAACCAAACAGCCCCTCAGCATAAAACAACCGGGCGGTGACGATCACCTCCACCTCACGCGCGGTGCGCTCACCTCCGTACCCCTACTCCCACTCGGATTCGAATTAACCGCAAAAAACGCCACGTGTCCTCCTCCCAATCCTAATCCGACTAGGATTAGGAGTCCAAATTCCCTCCTGAACCCCAAAATCAAGAACTCTATATAAAGTCCTCTCTCTTTTAAAAAAAAAATTTACATCCATTTTGTTGGTATGAATACTATGAGCTTGATTCCTCCTCCTCCTTCGTCGTCGTCGTCTTGTTCGAGATATAATGAAGATGGCACGTATCCTGGGGGTCCAGTAGGGTTTAGATTCAGTCCACAGTGCAAAGATCTCGTCAAGCATTTTCTCATCAAGAAGGTTAAGGGGCTGCCAATGGCTGATAGCCCAATCAAGGAGGTGGATATTTTCAATTTCAACCCTCAAGATTTACCAAGTAAGTTTGTAGTTTGGCTCATTTTTGTTAGTTTTGAAGCACGTTATAAGCAGTGGCGGATCCAAAAAAAAAAATTCTTGGAGGGGCGAACAACAAACATCCGTTTAACTAATATTAACTAAAAATAATATAATTTTCTGAAGCATGCTATAAGCAGTGGCGGATCCAGAAAAAATTTCTCGGAGGGGCGAACAGCAAACATTTGTTTAACTAAAATTAAAATATAATATTATAAAACTATAGCAATATTGTAGTTTTGTATTTCTAGTGGCGTAGTTTTCGGCTTTTAGTGTTTAGGCATATGCCCATTTGAGTTGATTGGTGAAAAGTCACATGAGTTTTTAACTTCCAATGAGATAATTCTATTTGCTACTACATTGTTACACACCATATTTGAGATAACTTAATGGCAAATAGGTTGGGTAACTGGGTTGGGGTGTGTAGTGTCTCGAAAAAGACAATGCGACGGATTCTTCAACTGTTTGGTTGTAAGAAGGGATTTTATCGCTTGATAATAATCTTTTTTTACAGTCGTTCTTCTTCAAGTACAGAAGAGGAGAAGATTGATTCAGCTTCTCCTTTGTTTAACGTGGGATCGATGTGGCGATGAGATGCTTCGCTCTATGCTCGTGCCAAGCTTACTTCTCGTTGACGATCAGAGTAAGATTGTTTCAACCCGAGGAAGAAATAACCTCTGTCGAGTGCTTTAGTTGCTGCTTGCAGCTGCTGTTGGCTCTTGATGTATGTGCGTCTAACTCTTGGGTCTCAAGATCTGGTCCTTGGATCTCCAAAAAAGTCATTTTTTCATAGCTGCTCATGGCTATTTATAGGCTATCAGTGTGTAACTGACGCCGAAGTCATGGGATCAGGTGCGTAACTGACTCCTTGATTTTAGCCCACGTGGGCTGGCCTTTTGACTTCACTTGATGAAACGACGCTCGTTGCGTTGCGAGGTTCGTCTGATGAGACGAGACTCGTAGCATGGCGAGGTTTGTTTGATGGGGCGAGCTTCGCTGCGCGATGAGCTTTGTCTTTGGTAGTCGAGCCTCGCTGCGTGGCGAGGTTCGTTTTCAATGTACGTTGAGCCTTGCTGCGTGGCGAGCTTCGTCTTCTGGGGCAAGTCTCACTATTTGGCGAGCCTTGTCTCTGTCTGAACTTTGTCTTCTGAAGGAGTTTCATCTTCTAGAGGAGTTTCGTCTCCAATGATGAGTTTCGTCTTCAATGACAAACTTCGTCTTCAATGACGAAGTTCGTCTTCTAAATGATAAGGCATTGAGAGCCTCGTCTGGCTGGGACGACCCTCACTGACTGAGACGAGGTTCGTCATTGTGATGAATCTCGTCACGCTTGTAGCGAGCTTTGACACTCTTTTGTCTCTTCGAATTTTTAGTGCCTATAGGGTGCAATTTGAAAATTTTATAAGGGGCAAATTATAAATATTACTTGAACTTCTATGCAAAGTGTAAATTTCTAGGGGTGCAAACTTTACCCCTAGACATCACCTGAATCCGCCCTTGGTTATAAGTCATATTTATGCTTTACAATTTTTATATTTCTATTTGACACCCTCGGATCTATTTTCATGTTTCTAATTATTACAGCCAAAATTTTAATTCCTAGAGTTTAACCATGATATGGTAACAGCTATGGATTATTTCAACTAGGGTTAATGTAAGGTCAATTTCTAGTATTAATCCAGCTTATGCAAGCCATTCCATTAACCAACTTAAAAGGCTAATGCATAGCCTTGGTTTATTATATTAACTCCATCTTAATACACATTGTGATCAGTTTATGCTTACTAGCAGAAAAAACCTCGTTTTAGTACAATGAAGACATAAAGTTCTGATTGAAATTCAAGTCTTTATATCAATCCAATTTTTACCAGCAAATCCATAAACCAACCTAAACAGGGTAATCATATGCATAATTTATTATATGAAATATTTCATTAATTAACAGGTTTAAATGTCAGTAATAACCATCTTGATACACATCATACTGAGTTTATGCTTACGGTTATCTCATGACGCAGCTACTAGCAAAAAGCAACTTGTTATTCTATAATGAAGATATAACTTATGATTGAAATTCAACTTTTTGTGTTAATTCAATTTATAATCTCCAATCCATGAGTCAATTTAGAAGGCATAACCATGTATTTGATTTGTTACACATGAATTTTTTAGCAGCAAGTTTAATTTGATGGTAACATTATGATTAATTTATACGTAAAGTCATCACATGATACAGTTACTAGCGAGAGAGAGAGAGAGAAAAAAAAACCCTGTCATGCTACAATGAGGACATGATGTCTGACTGAGATTCAATCTGTAGTATTAATATAGTTTATACTAACCAATATATGAACCAACTTAATTAAAAGGCTAATACACATCTTTGATTTAATAAGTCAGTAACGTCTTGATACACATTATGATTAGTTTATAATTTTCGTCATCTCAGATGAAATAACGAGCAAAAATATCCTATTCTACTACAACGAAGGAATAATAATGTCTGATTAAAATTCAAGGTTCAATATCAATCCTATTTATGCTAGCAAATCCATGAGCCAACTTAAACAGGGTAATACATATCCATAATTTATTATGTAAATTCTTTCGCCATCAAGTTTAAATGCCAGCAACAATTAATAACCATCTTGTTACGCATCATACTCTGTTTATGCTTATGGTAATCTCATAGGGTTTATGTAGTTTTGAGGCGAATAAATCTCGATTCTTGTAATCTTTTCTTTCTTATTTCAGTGATCTTTTTTTTTTAAAGTCTCTTTTTGTAATGAGACTAGCCTTGTAGCACTCTTGTTTCTCTAGTGAATCAATAAAATTTGAAGATACTGCTTTTAGCCTTTTACACAGATGACAAGCTTGCTATTTCAAAATTATTATTCTTTCTAATTTTCAAAATTTATGTTCAACACACATACAAGAGAGTTAACACATATGAGAGAATTAGGCAAATTTTTCTCTCAAATACATAGAAATATTAGAGGATCTCTGTAATATATCACGTGGCACTTGTATACGATTGTTATAAAGCCATCCAAAGATTGGGAACATATCCTTTGATACAACTTGCAAGAA